AAACAGAAACAATACAAATATACCCTGAGAACAGGGCCTTGGGTGGAAGGCTGAGGCGGGAGATGGTTTCCTGGCCTCCCTGCTTCCCCCCAGAAAGCCCCAGGACTTCTGTGAGGAGGCCAGTGTCATCCAAGTTCTTACCTGAGTCATTCTGGTTCTTTCTTTCTCAGGATTTTGAACTGAAGATCATTGGGAAAGGCAGAGGACACAGAAAGAGTGAGCCGGAAGCAAACACGCCATATCCTACTCTGACCTGAAATCTTTCACCTTCCCCAGCCACAGTCCAGCCAGTGACTAGAGGTCCCTGTATCCAAACGACCTTCAAGACACCTCTGGTGTGTTTCAATGCCCACCATGTGCACACATGCGCGGAAGCTTCACCTCCTTAGTCCCATGCTTCCTCACAACTAGCCCAGTTTCCTGGGGCCTGACCGAGGTCCTTTGATGGAGGCCTCTAGAATGGCAGGAGGGGCCCTAGGAATACCCTGAGCAAAGTGGGCTGTGGCTGCCCCTTCCCACACTGAGAAACGGTCTGTCCTCACCTCAGAGGCTCAGAAGAGTTAGAGCCCCTAGAGGCTTGCAGTTGAAACGAAGACAGTCTTGAGGCGATGTGGCCAAGTTAGGCTGGGCAGAAGAGAGAACTCTTTACAGGCCTGCATGTGGAGAGAGCTGGCAGCTGCCCCAGACATTACTGGAGTCTGTTCTGTGACTGTAGACACTGGCTTTCCTGTACGGCAGCTCACTGGGAAAGCCTGTGGGCCTCTTCTCTCTTTACCTCACCCTTACATACTGCCAAACACACCATTGCAGTCTCCCTTAGGGCGGAGGAGGAGAGGGGAAGATGCTGTCCTGGGATGTCTCTTCCAGGGGCTGGGTAGTCTGAGACATACCCTCCAGATCTGTCTCTCCCTGCACAGGCCTGTAGAGCTATCCTCAGTGTAACAAGACCCCGGACTTTAGGAGGGCCCAGACCTTAGCACAACTGACTCCATGATGGAAGTACCATTCAGGTTATAAAACTCAGCATGTACACAACACCATCTACCGAAACTACAACAAAGGCTTAACCCATCCAAGTCCACAGTTCTGGGAGTCTCTAAATGTACTGACTTTGCTTTTTGGCTTCTGTAGCTCTGCTTCTGGCTAACTGTTCTTGTTAACTGAAGTGTGTCAGCCCAGAACATGGGGTTTGTGCTTGAAAGTTTACCTTCAGAAAGGCTCAGAGCTACACTGAGATTCCACTGTAGTCACCAGCCTTCTAGCAACGACCTTCTATTGGCTTGTACGGGTGTGTGAATGGGCTTCTCTGGTGGAAACCCACAGCAGTCATTGTTATGCCCAGATCACAGAGTCCCCCAAAGACTAACGAGGACACCGAGTCCCATACATAAAAGCAAAGAGCCTTTATTCAAGCTTAAGCTTGGACTCTGCATCTGTCCAATGCATTGGTTGAGAGCAGAGAGTGACCAGCCCAGGTGGGGCAGGGTTTTTGTCATAGTAGAGGTTGGCCATGAGGGAATTTTCATGGTTCAAGACCCTGATTGGCTGGCATTTGTCTAGGGGTGACTTGGTGAAAGGGGATGGGTGTGTGCTTAGGCTAAGGGACATCAGATGCGCCTATGTCCTACAAAGGTTGAAATGTTAGGAATTTCCTTTGGAACGTGAGGTACTTTCCCCTTGGATGGTGCCCAGGTGGTCCCAGCTTGTGGTCTCTCCTGGAGTCTCACCAGGTAAACTGAAACTTCAGGTCTACTTTCTGGTTGGTCTCCACTGAGCCTTGGCATGGCAGCAGAGTGGCCAAGCAGCAGGTGTGTACCACGTTGCCCTGGGCCCCACAGTCAGCAGCATCACTGACTTTCTCGGGCGATGAGGTGTGCGGGTACAGATGATGTGTAACCTGCAAAGCTCAGCGTGGAAGCTGTTTCCTGAGCACTTGCTGTAAGCCTGCTGGCATAGCTACCCACATAGAAGCCCCGGAGGTGGGCAATGTAAATCAGGGCACCACTCTGAGGACAGACAGAAAGGTTTATTGAGGATCAAACTGCCAGGGCCATCTCTTGGGGGACAGAGAGAAGCAACTCGGCAGAAAAGTGAGTGAGAAGGGTAAGGGCTTTGAGCTCACACAGGCTGTTTGGGTTGGCCGGGAACTAGATGCCCAGCCCATGGTAGGTGACCTGGTAAAGGAAACCTTTCCTGGCAAACAAAAGCCCACCATTAGGCTTTTGTTTACCCAATAACAATCCTCCTGTTTAGCTGGTAAGAGTCATTCTGTTAGGACATTTTCACCAGCACTGCCATTTTGGGGGAGTCAGGAGGATGCTTTGGAGCCCTAACCATGTAAGACCCATTTCCAGCATTGAGATTCATTCCAGAAGAAGGCTGTATGCCTTACTCAGAGAATGGTAATCCAAATGATTAAACCGGGAGCCCCTTCCTGGTCAGAGGCTAATGACATAAACTCCTACAACCATGGTGAAGAGAGGCCTGCAACCGGGAGTCAACATTTGGTCTGAGTTTTGGGGAGGCGGCGTGTGGAAATAGATGTCTAAATGAAGGATTACCTGTCTCTGTTCACAAACAACAAACACATGTTGGTTGTTGTGCCAGGCACTGTGTTGAAGGAGTAGAAAAAACAGGGGGAGCACTACAAGACCCTGCAGTGATCCAGGTGGGGAGCCAGACGATGGCGAAGGGCACCGCTTAACGGGACAGAAGTTCTAGGTGGGGGGAGGATGGGGGTAGATGTCCAGACCATGTAGGCGTGGTGCACGTCCTGCTGGAAAGTAACCACGAGGAGGGGGAGCCAGATCACCACGTGAATCTGAAAGTGTTAGAGCTGCTTTGCTGGGGGAGGGGCGCGCATACAGAGGCTGGTGGGTGGTCTGGAAGGAGAGGCTACAGTATCATCTTTGGAGGGGACAGGACCCTCAATGTCACTGTTCCCCAGGTGCCCTTTGACCAGTGTCCCTAAACGTTGCCAGGAAGGGTGTATACAGTGGAGGAGGTCGGTTCACTCATAGCTGAGAGACTCCCTTGTGGGTGGGAGCCGCAAGAGACCATACCATCTCCTCAGCACATTCTTATACCGTCTCTTGTGTTCACAATCAGCCCTGTGTGACAGTTAACCTTCAGTATCAACTTGACTGAACCTAAAAGCACCCAGGAAACGCACCGCTGGGTGTGACTTGAGGGTGTTTCAGACAGGTTTAACTAAGAGGTAAGACACACCCTGAGTCTGCCTGGCACTGTCCCATGAGCTGGGGCCCAGACAGAAGAGAAAGAGAAAGAAGACAGGGGAGCCCCAGCATCCAATATTCTCTGCTTCCCATTGCTGTCTTCCCTACTGTGACGGACTGTATTTCTTCAAACCGTGAGCCAAAACAAGCCCCTCCCTTCCCTAAATTGCTTTTGTTAGAGCAAGGAAAAAAAATAACTAAAATAAGAGGACTCTTGCCTCATTTTAGTCAAGGGCATTCTGGCTCCAGAGGAGAAAGGGACCTGTGGAGGTTAGGCCACACAGCTTCCCAGTGGGCACACCACGCTTCTGACTTGGAATTGTGTTCTTAGTGTGGCTCCTACCTGATAGAGACAGGTAGGTTTGTTTGTCTCTGTGGCTAATGAGCTTCCTGTGTGGTCAAGGCGAAGCTACCAGAGGATGTGTGGAAGTCCATCCCTTCCTTTACCAGAGGGAGAGGTGGGTTCTGGACACAGGAATCCTGGGACACAAGTCACACGTTTCTCTGGAAAGAGTGAGCAACATTAGAGTGGAACCCTTCACTAGGCTCCTGGGAGCCTCCTGAGAGAGGGGATGGCACGGGTCATTTCAATACCTGGCCCGCAGGACCCGCAGCAAACCCCTACCGGACATGCATGCTGGCCTTTTGCCTGGGCAGAGTTCTGTGGTTCAGCTGCCACCTCCTCGACTTGGCCGACAGCCCTAGGTTAGGTGCTTGCTATTTTGATCTCGTGGAAAGAGATTGAACCAAGGGCTCAGACTGGGAAATGTAGACACTAAGAATCTCTGAGATTAGGGGCTCCCCTTGGACAGCCTGCTACGCCATCCCCAGACTCCCTTGTCTCAGGAGGATAGTGGCACTCAGAGAAGTCGGTCCCTGTTTTGGCCCAAAGGATTCTGGAACTTACAATGGCAACCGGGTCCTCAGACTTTCCCAAATCAGTCGACCTTCCTACAGGAGGCTCCCTCTTAGTCCACGCCAGAGCCGTCCAGCCCATCCTCCGCCCAGGGGTGGGGCGAACCTCAGGCGGTAGGATGGATCCCTGCTGGGGTTTCCTCCATCCTCAGGGCGGAGCACAGCTGGAGGAGAAAGGGCAGGGTGTCCCTGCTTCCCGGGGGAGCGTCTTGCGTACTCTGGCCCCAGGGTTGCACTGGACCCTACGGTGGAAGGAAGGTGGGCGGACCAGCCTACAGTGCTGAGTCGCGGGTTGTGGGAGGAAGCTAATCCTTCAAACCCAGTAGGACGTTTATATTCTGACTCGAACCTATCCTGGGCACCCGGACTCAGGCGCACACAACAGCAGGTCCATGAAAGCCTGAACACGGGACCCACCCACCCTAGGATACATAGACCCAGATGTGGTGCGCACACATGTGTGCGTACGTGGGTGTCTGCGCGGGCAAGGCGAGAGGTCTCGGCGTCCCCCCGAACTCTCTCTCCCTCTCTCTTTCTCTCTCTGGGATTCTATAATTTGCCTTCCTTTGTTCTCAAAATAGTACGCGAGCGCTGCCGGCACTGCTCTCGGGAGGGGTGGGGGCTGCTGCGCGCTCGCTCGCGCGCAGAGTTAGCTGCAGGGTTACAAACAGTCTCTCCTGCTCCCCCGGCCTGAATTAATGTGTTACTATTTCTGGCGAGCCAGTGTTTCCAGGGGAAACCTAATGACGCAATGACGTCAATGCAGGTCAGCAGCAGACTCTCCGGGAGGGCGGGCGGGCTCCCGGCTTTCAGGCTCCGCGCAGTCTGCGGGCGGGAGGGTGCCGGCAAGGTGGTGAGGGCGGCAGGTGCGGGGGCGCAGCAGCCCTGGCCAAGCCCAGAGACCGGAGGACACCTCCCTCCCAGCGCTCTAACACGGGCAACTTCCCACTCCCGGGGACGGAGTTTCTCCGTTGCCCACGGACATCCAGGAGGCGGTGTGGAGGGCAAGCAGGGTAACCCCCACATCTATCCAAGGGGAGCCAGAGGAGCCAGCAGGTCCGGACTCGCTAAGGGGGCTCCTCGCGAGGCCTCCCACGCACAGGTACGCTCTGGTCCTCTGGGTGTCTTCAGTTTGGGAGGGAGACACTCTTCCGTCCACTCTCCTCTACTGTCCTGGCACCATAAATGGGCGTTTGGGAAAGAAGACTATAGAAGCTACCCTTGCAGTCCGTCGCACTCCCTCTTTGTGGGCCTAAGAGCCGACTGCCCTGTCTCAGCATCTTCCCTGGTCTCAGACTAGAATTAGGGGTTCCTTACTGGCTGTGCCTCTCTTAGGGTCACCATCTGAGGCCCAGACGCAAAGCGGGTGGGCCGTCCAGGCCACAGGGGCCACGATGATCCTAGAGAGGTACCTTGGTGGCCTGGTGGGAGCCAGTGCTGGTGTTTAGAGTGAGCAGAACTGCTTGGATGTATTTGGTGTGTTCATATAGCGTGTGTGCACCTCCCTCCCGAGGGTCTATGTGCAAATGTGTCTGTGTCACTCATGTGCATGGAAACGTCTTGTGTATCCTTCTTTGCTTTGTACTCATAGCATTTTCCTGAGTGCAGAAGGTCAGAGAGAAGTTCAGGGTCCTTTCCCTGCTGGTCCCCGACTGCGCTTGGCCCAGATTGCACCTTGCTCCCCCCCCTCCTTCCCCGAGGATCCTGGCCCGCTTTCCCCAAGCTGACCACAGCTTCAGATGGCTACATACTTCTCAAAGCCCAACCTATCTTCTTGTAGCAACTCGATCGTGCACTTCCTCTGAGGATAAGTAGGAGAGGGGGATCGAGAGGGAATCCCTTTCTACCCGCCCCCTCTAACTTGTGGCGGAGGCGCCTCTTTTTAGGCTGCTGCTCTCCGATTTCAGCACCTAGGCGTGGACAGCTCCAGGCCCGCTCCTGCGTAGCCTCTTCCGTTTTTTCTGCCAACCCTGGGAGTCAGGTCTGGGAGTGAGCAACCCCTAGCCTCAGTCTACCCCTCCTGTCCCAGGCCTTCTCAGATTCTAACGAGCTCCAGAACTCGATTCTAGATCCTTCTCCCAGCCCCACAACATACACACCACCCAGGAGTCTTTTGTGTCAGGTAGCCAGGAACTACAGGCTACCTTTAAGGGATAGGTGATTCTAAATAGACTGCTCTGCCAAGAGATCCCCTTTCTTCATTCAATTAGTTAAGTGGCTAAAGAGATTTCCAATCCCTAAAAGGCAAGCCAGCCTTCTGAAAGCAGAAGGGTGGGAACGGGAAGCCCTTAGGACACACCCCCTCCACTCTCACACCCACTGCTTCCTTGGGTCTGAGATCTGGGGTGAATTCGTCCCGCACCAGGGGTTCAGATGGTGTCATGGTTCAGAAGCTCTGTATGGAATAATGCTTGAGAAGGTTCTTATGAGAGTGTGTCCTGGGCTTCCCAGGAAGTCTCCAGGGATACATGTTTTGTGTGTGTGACAGAGTTCTATGTAATTCTCACCAGCTAGGTTGTGACCACTCAGCAAGGAGACAGCACACACACACACCCCCAGCACACGTGGAGTCCAGGATAAAGGATAAAGCAACTGTGCCTATAGCTCACTCCATTCTGGGTGTCACGACCAGTAAGGTGCTGGGATATTGTCCCAGATACACCTCAGTCCTCCCTTTCTGGAGTCTGCTTGTCATCCTAGGTCTCTCAGAAAGAGCTGGGAGAGCCTGTGGGATATCCCAATTGGTCCAGGGATGAGCAGAAGAAAACAGGGAAGCCACCTCTTTCTACCCCTTTCCATCCTGTTTCAGAGACAAACGGCCCCTTCCACTCTGAAGCCTGAGCTCCAGACAGCTCTCATCATTAGATATTCTCTCTGGGAAGCAGGGATTATGCCAGCCTTGTCAGAGCTGACCCAGGGCAGATCCAGGTGTTGCCACCGTATTGCCAAGGTCAGCAGCACCAGACGAGGCCTGGCCATGGGGAGGTGGTCACCCCTCTGCAGAAGCTCTGGGGTCTGGAGTGGGCACACACTCTGTCAGCAGGAAATGGCCTTTTCTCTGAAACAGCCATTGTTCTGTTTGCGGCTGAGCTACCAGGGCAAGGCAAAGAAAGGAGTCCCTGGCTGGGAATGAGGAAAGAGGTGACAGTCAACCTAGTCCAGGGCGCTTCCTGTTCACACTGCAGCTCTCGGTGTCTCCTCGGGTTCCGAGAGGTACACGGTCGTTCTCCGAATTCATTTCATACCAGAAAAGCCATGCGTGACCGGGCCAAAGAGGAGGCAGTGTGGGCATGCAGACAGTAAGACGTGCTCTCTACTAAAGGTCAATGAACTCCCCAGAGTCTTCCAGCCCAAACTCACTTTTCTAGGAGTGCTGAGCTACTTCTGTCTACCTGGCCCCATGTCTGGTCATGTGCCAAGTTTCCTCGGCTCCCTGGCTTCCCTCCATGTTCAGTTGGGTAACATCTGGCTATGACCTCAGGGCAGAGTGGCTGTGCTTAAACAGGTACAAAGAAGTGTGTCCCATGATATAAGCCTGGCTTCTCTAGTTATTCAGAGCAGGGACCTCAAGGAGAAGCCAAGAACGTGACTGGCCTTGCTGGAAGCAAGCACATGGTACTTATTGGGTGTCAGGGAGAACGCTGTGGTTCTCCTCGTCTGACTGCAGTCATGACAAGTCAGAGCAGCTTCTGGGCCTCACGGCCAGGCGCTCTACAGGAAGCTGAACTGACAGAACACTGGGGTCAGCATAGGCCTCGATGTTCCTCCCTTCAGCTCCATGCTGATGCTTAAGCCAGTCTTCACGATGAACCTCGGGTTCTCCATCTGCACGAGGGGCATTGGTGAGGACTCCCACAGCTTGAGAGTTGGCTCGTTCTGAGGGTGCCTGGCCAACATTGTGTTAGCACCTGAAAGCTGACTGGGAGACCTGGTTCCTTTATTCACAAAATGCCCGAGATCCTGGCTTGCTGGAACACCTGGCTCTTGAGGAAGGTGGATCCAGGTCGGGTGGTAACTTTTCTGCTGCCTGGTAAAGATCTCTTTTCATGGGGTCTCAGCCTGTGCCTGTAAAGAGAAGCTTAGGTTCCACTGATTGGCCAGACATCTCGCCTCTCCCTGTGTCAGATGGCTTCCATGGAGGCACGGATAAGGAATAGCTTCAGGTTGACCAACACCACCCCAACCCAACCAAACCTTGGCTCTCCCAGCTCCCTAAATAATGGGTGGAGTAAGGGGTTCCACAGAAAAATGGCAGTAGTCCTAAGGTTTGTTCTTGGGGCCAAGAAACTTGGGGTTTTCTCACCTGGAGGACTGCATACAAGCCTGATCATCATGCTATCTTCCAGCTAGAGCCCTGAGCCCAGGGGCACTGAGCCAGGGTCCAAGTGACCAGGGACAAGGTCTTCATGTCTGCTTCCCTGTGTCCTCTCATGAAGCCCAAGTCTCTTGTGTGGCCACCTTTGGATTCTGCCTCTTTTAGGGGCTTTACAGTCCTGCAGCACCCCTCAACCACTCTACAAAGGGTGAAGTTGACTGGGAGAGCTTCATTTCAGCCCAGAGAAACAATGCTCATACACAGGCTTCAGCTTTCCCCAGAGCAGAGGTTCTCAACTTGTGGGCTGCCACCCCTCTGGGGGTTGAACAACCCTTTCACAGGGGTCGCCTAAGACCATAAGAAAACACAGAGCTTTATATTGCAAATCATAACAGTGGCAAAAATTGCAGTTACAAAGTAGCAACGAGAATAATTTTATGTTTGGGGGTTGAAGCATCAGGAAGGTTGAGAACCGCTGCCCCAGAGGCTGCAAGGGCCAACACGGACACTGGGAGTGCAGTTGCGAGACTCACTCTGTCTCATCTCTCTTGCCTGTGTAACCTTGGGCTCGTCATTTCACTCCCAGCATGGAAATGGGTGAAGCAGCTATCAATGAGCTTCACCGGGCCATCGGACGGAGAGACGTGGCGAAGACAAGCATGTCATGGAGACATGTGAAGCCTGGTCTCACAATCATATGTGCCTGGCACCAGTGTGTTAGTCATAATTCACAGTCTAGGGTTGAAAGACAGTACATGCCATGCAGGACCATGTGAGGGATGCACTCAGAGGTGCGCCCAGGCTGTGTAAACTGCAACGGTCTCTATGGTGACAATATGATGTGTGTCTACAAGAGGATTTACTGCATTGTTGAGGTCACCTCATGGGCTGATGGGAAGTAAGACTTTTGGGATGAGGACCAGGTAGTGAACCATCAATTTGGCTGTGAGGGGAACTGGCCCGATGGGGATTTTTTTTCCCACAGGGTGGGCACATGTCTGGAGACAGCAGGGAAACTCACAGTTGTTAGACTCGCTGGGACTTAGATGTCAAGGTTGCACTTGAAACGTTCAGCTTTCAAGTACACAGCTCCAGGCTGTGTGTTCAGTCTCATTCATCCTCATGAAATCCCTGCAAGAGGGCTACGTTCCCTATGAGGAACTTGAGGCTAAGTATAAGACGTGATCACCAGGACTGAGCTGTGGCCCAGGTCTCTCTCTGTAATGTCCGCATTGACGTCTCAAGGCAGGCCCAATGGGAAATAGCCTCCAGATGTCCCAGATGCTCTGCAGCCTTTCTTTGGTTATAGTTGGAATGCCACCCTAGAGAATCTAGAGCACTTTTGACACCTCTGCTTCCAGATTGTGGAGCTGGTGAGTGGGTTTACATATCAAGGCACCAGAATTTCAATTGGTAAGGCCAGAGTGGGTTCAAGAGCATAATACAGAGCTGACTACTTCAGTGAGGCGCACTGGGCCCCAGCCACCCTCAGTCTCCCGGCTGTGTGGCTTACTCATCCCTGGGCGCACACTTCTCTGCAGTAACCGCAGGAAGACGGATGAGCGTGGAGTTTCTTCCAGTTTGACAGTGCTGTGAATCTTTAATAACTCTCATCTGTGGAATAAAAAGCCCCACCTATAGAGAAAGTGGATCCCAGTACAGGGGTGGCCCTGTTGGGTCTAGAGGAGTCACATTGACTCAGTCCTTTGTAGTGAGTCAATGGTGACATGGTGGATGTATGAGCCAGGGCTTACCTCAGCCCAGCCTGGCCTGCCTCAGGGAAGAGA